AGTTCACTGTGGCAGAAATAGTGGATGACCCTTGGAAAACTGGTATCACTTGTTTCCGCCTTAAAATGACATGAGACTCCAGTGCTGAGGTGGAATTGTGGTGTTGACTTCTCCTGTGAACCTGGCTTCATGATATCAGACTAGTGATTTTATTCTTGATCAATTGGTTAAGGTGGTTCTCTACTGTAAAGTCACTATTTTAACTTTTGTAATTAATTAGTGTCATTTGAGTAGATACTTTAAAATTATATAACCATAACTTATTTCTTTTTTTTTAATCATTTTTTTTAAATTTTCAGCATAACAGTATTCATTGTTTTTGTACGACACCCAGTGCTCCATGCAATCCGTGCCCTCTTTAATACCCACCACCTGGTTTCCCCAACCTCCCACCCCCCACCTCTTCAAACCCTTCAGATTGTTTTTCAGAGTCCATAGTCTCTCATTGTTCACCTCCCCTTCCAATTTCCCCCAACTCCATAACTTATTTCTTATTAAAACTTCACCCACTATGTTTAACACTTTTTTTCCTCTTTGCTCTTTTGTTTTGTTTCTTAAATTCCACATGTGAATGAGATCATATGGTATTTGTCTTTCTCTGACTGACTTATTTCACTTAGCCTCTAGCTCCATCCATGTTATTGCAAATGGCAGTATTTCATTCTTCTTGATAGCTAAATATTATTCCATTATGTGTGCTTGTATGTGTGTGTATCCCACATCTTAGTGTGTGTGTTTGTGTGTGTGTGCATGCATGTGTGTGTGTGTCTGTCTGTGTGTAACACATCTTATTTTTTTTTCCCTCAGATCTAGGGTTAGGGTTAGCGCTAGGGCCAGGATGAGAGTATGTGCCTGGGATCTTGCAGTTCAGACATTCTGGAAAACCGTGTGGAATTTCCTTGAGAAGTTAAAAATAGAGATACCCTATGACTCAGCAATTACATTACTAGGTATTTACCCTAAAGATACAAATGTAGTGACCTGAAGGGGCACCTGCACTCCAATGTTTAGAGCAGCAATGTCCACAACAGCCAAACTCTGGAAAGAGCCCAGATATCCATAGACAGATGAATGGATAAAGAATAGGTGATATATATGTATACATACAATGGACTATTACTCAGCCATCAAAAGGATGAAATCTTACTATTTACATTGGCATGGATGGAACCAGAAGGTATTATACTGAGCAAAATAAGTCAGTCAGAGAAAGACAATTATCATACGGTTTCACTAATATGTGTAATATACAGGGCAGAAAGAAACAGGGCAGAGGGCCATAGAGGAAGGGAGGGAAAATATATTGGGAAGAAATTAGAGGAAGACAAACCATGAGAGACTCTTAACAATAAGAATCAGACTGAGGGTTGCTGGAGGGGAGGTGGGTGGCAGATTGGGATAATTGGGTGACAGGCATTAAGGAGGCACATGATGTGATGAACACTGAGTGTTATATACAACTGATGAATTACTGAACTCTACATCTGAATCTAATGATGAACTATATGTTGGCTAATTGAATTTAAATAAAATTTTTAAAAAGAAAACATAGTAATATGAAAAATATAAATTCAAGTATATCATATTAAATGTTACTAGATCAAATTCTCCAGAAATACAATGATTATGAATACCAAAAAAAAAGAACACAACCTCTTTAGTTAGATTTATTCCCAGGTATCTTATGGTTCTTGGTGTGTAGTAAATGGGATTGATTCTCTAATTTCCCTTTCTATATTTTCATTGTTAGTGTATAAGAAAGCAACTTATTTCTGTGCATTGATTTTTGTATCCTGCCCCATTACTGAATTACTGTATGAGTTCTAGTAGTTTGGGGGGTGGAATATTTTGGGTTTTCCATATAAAGTATCATGTCATCTGCAGAGAGAGAGAGAGTTTGACTTCTTCTTGCCGATTTGAATACATTTTATTTCTTTTTGTTTTCTGATTACTGTTGCTAGGACTTCTAGTACTATGTTGAACAATGGTGGTGAGTGTGGGCATCCTTGTCGTGTTCCTGATCTCAAAGGGAAGGCTGTCAGCTTTTCCCCATTGAGAATGGTATTCGCTGTGGGTTTTTCCTAGATAGATTTTTATGAAGGTGAGGAATATTCCCTCTATCCCTATGTGTTGAAGAGTTTTAATCAGGAGCAGATGCTGTGTTTTGTCAAATGCTTTTTCTGCATCAATTGAGAGGACCATGTGGTTCTTCTCTCTTCTCTTATTGATTTGTTCTATCACATTGATTGATTTGCGAATGTTGAACCACCCTTGCATCACAGGGATAAATCCCACCTGGTCATGGTGGATAATCTTTTTAATGTACTGTTGTATCCTACTCGAGGAACTACAGAACACTCATGAAAGAAATTGAAGAAGATACAAAAAGATGGAAAAGTATTCCATGCTCATGGATCAGAGGAAAAGCATTCCATGCTCATGGATTGGAATAATAAACTTTGTTAAAATATCTATACTTCCCAGAGCAATCTATACTTTCAATGCCATCCCAATCAAAATTCCACCAGCATTTTTCAAAGTGCTGGAACAAACAATCCTAAAATTCGTATGGAAAAAAAACCAAATTGTTAAGGAAATGTTGAAAAAGAAAAACAAAACTGGGGGCATCACGTTGCCTGATTTCAAGCTTTACTACAAAGCTGTAGTACTATGCTGATAGTACTGGCACAAAAACAGACACATAGATCAGTGGAACAGAGTAGAGAGCCCAGATATGGACCCTCAACTCAATGGTCAAATAATCTTCAACAAAGCAGGAAAAAATATCCAGTGGAAAAAAGACATCTCTTCAATAAATGGTGTTGGGAAAATTGGACAGCTATGTATAGAAGAATGAAACTTCACCATTCTCTTACACCGTACACAAAGATAAACTCTAAGTGGATAAAAGACCTCAACGTGAGGGAGGAATCCATCAAAATCCTAGAGGAGAACATAAGGAGTAACCTTTTCAACATCAGCCACAGCAACTTCTTTCAAGACATGTCTCCAAAGGCAAAGGAAATAAAAGAAAAATGAACTTTTGGGACTTCAAGATCAAAAGCTTCTGCAAAACAAAGGGAAGTCAAGAAAACAAAGAGGCAACCCACAGAATGGGAGAAAATATTCACAAATGACACTACAGACAAAGGGCTGATATCCAGGATCTATAAAGAACTCCTCAAACTCAACACACACAAAACAGATAGTCAAGTCAAAAAATGGGCAGAAGACATGAACAGACACTTATCGAAAGAAGACATACAAATAGGTGACAGATACATGGACATATGTTCATCATCATTAGCCACCAAGGAAATTCAAATCAAAACCGCATTGAGATACCACCTTACACCAGTTAGAATGGCCAAAATTAACAAGACAAGAAACAACAATTGTTGGGGAGGATGTGGAGAAAGGGGAAGTCTCTTACACTGTTGATGGGAATGCAAGTTGGTGCAACCACTTTGGGAAACAGTGTGGAGATTCCTTAAGAAATTAAAAATAGAACTACCCTATGACCCTGTAATTGCACTACTGGGTATTTACCCCAAAGATACAGATGTAGTGAAAAGAAGGACCATCTGTACCCCAATGTTCATAGCCGCAATGGCCACAATTGCCAAGATGAGCCAAGATGCCCTTAAACAGATGACTGGATAAAGAAGATATGGTCCATATATACAATGGAATATTATGCCTCCATCAGAAAGGATGAATACCCAACTTTTGTATCAACATGGATGGGACTAGAGGAGATTATGCTGAGTGCAATAAGTCAAGCAGAAAAAGTCAATTATCATATGGTTTCACTTACTTGTGGATCATAAGGAATAACATGGAGGACATTAGGAGAAGGGAAGGAAAAGTGAATTGGGGGAAATCGGAGGGGGAGATGAACCATGATTGACTGTGGAGTCTGAGAAACAAACTGAAGGTTTTGGAGGGGAGGGGGTGTGGCATTAGGTGAGTCTGGTGGTGGGTATTAAGGAGGGCATGGAGCACTGGATGTGGTGCATAAACAGTGAATCTTGGAACACTGAAAAAAATGAAATGAAATGAAATGAAATGAAATGAAACCTAACTTCACAGTGCTAACAAGGAATGTCTCACAGATATAAGGACATAGAACAGTTTAAAGGAAATTGATGGAAAAGAAATACCACGTAGGTAGCCAAGTGATGGGTATTGAGGAGGGTTCATGTTGTGATGAGCACTGGGTATTATACACACTAATGAATTGTTGAACACTATATCAAAAACTAATGATGTACTATATGATGGCTAACTGAACATAATAAAAAAAAGACATATCATGTAAATGCTAACCAAAAGAAAGCTGACATATCTATACTGATAATCAGAAGAAGTAGATGAGATGTTAAGCCAGGAGCTGCTGCTAGAGATAAAGAGAAACATCTCCTATTTATAAATGCAGTAGTGTGATGTTAAATGAATAAAAATAGCTCTCAGAGAAGCCTTGCTTTGTAGCATTTGACAATTACCATAGTGTAATTATTTCCAGTATGGCTGATTTCAATCTACCAAAGTGATGTCATTAAATGTGGAGTTGAAAGAGATGTTCACTTTCAGCTTGAAAGCAATGCAAGCCAGCTTCAGCACACCACTGTATTAAAGAACCAGTACATAGAAGCAGATCATGATGTTAAATCTGCATGTCCTCAATGACAGCTTATAAAATACACAAGCAATAACTGGGCATATCTAAAAGGGGAAAAATAAATCCACAATTACAATTGTGCAGCATGTTTCACATAAGATTTTGCACATATAAGAGATGATGAACAAGGAGGAAAAAATTAAGGATAAAGGATATTTAACAAAACAAGTAACAAACTTGACATGGTGGACATATTAACAACACTATGACAGCAGAATCTATATTTGTTTTAAGTTACATAGAGTTGTCAATCATACTATAGTTTGAGGAGATATATCTCCATTGCATGACTGCAGTAACTGGATTTAGTGATTGTCACTTAAAAGTTAGCCCTCTTGACAAAGATTTCTAGGGCCTGTTTTATATCTTTGGTCCTCAGGCTATAGATGAAGGGGTTCAGCATAGGGGTAACTACTGTATACATGACTGAAGCAATTATGTCTTTGTCACTGAAGTCCCATGATGTGGAGAAAAAGTAAACACAAGCAAGTGTCCCATAATATAAAGACACCACAAAAAGATGGGAGCCACAGGTAGAAAAGGCTTTAAAAAGTCCCTTAGTAGAGGGGATCCTCAGGACAGTTGTCCCTATGCAGACATATGAGCCCAAGATACTACTAAAGGGCAGGATGAAAAGCACTCCTCCTTCAGTAAAGATGACCAGCTCGTTGAGAGAGATGTCTGAGCAGCTCATCTTCAGGAGCACAGTGATGTCGCAGAAGAAGTGGGGGATGGTATTATCAGCACAGAAGGATAATTGGACCAAGAGCAGGGTGTGCAACAGGGCATGAATGCAAGAGAAGAACCAGGACCCAGCTATTAATGAGATACACAGTTCCTGCCTCATGACAGTGGTGTAGTGGAGTGGCTGACAGATGGCCACATACCTGTCATATGCCATCACTGCAAGAAGGAAGTTGTCGAGACAACCAAAAAGTATGAAAAAATACATCTGAGAAATGCACCCCACATAGTGAATGGATTGTTGCTGAGTCTGCATGTTCATGAGCATCTTTGGAACTATAATAGATGAAAGGTAAATATCAGAGAGGGCCAATTGGCTGAGGAAGAAGTACACAGGGGTGTGGAGGCGGGAGTCCAGCCTGATGAGCAGGATGATGAGCAGGTTCCCCAGCACCGTAGTCAGGTACATGCCCAGGAACAGGGCAAAGAACACTCCCTGCTGCTCTGGCTGGATGGGGAACCCCAGGAGGAGGAACTCAGGCACGCTGCTCTTGTTCTCCCTCCTCATGCTGTTCTTATCTCTTCTGGCAACTGGGGAAAATAGGGAAGGTCAGTCAACATGTCATAACATTTTAGTAAGTTCCTTTCTATGAAAATTCTTAATTTTAACTACCTTTCTGTTTATTTTTCACAACTGTTGGTGCATGAGATAATTTGTCCATCTCTAGCTCTAATGATACATGAAACTGCACATTTACCAGTTTTTTTTTTGAAAACAGCTAAAGGACAATTATTCTTTACTCAACAAATATTTATTGAAAAAAAAACTTTGTCCCATATTGAGTACACAGTAGTGAACAAGAAATAGGAAATCTCTATGTTCAATGAAGAAGTCAAACTCTCTCTCTTCACAGATGACATGATTCTTTATATGGAAAACCCAAAAGACTCCACCCCCAAACTACTAGAACTCATACAGCAATTCAGTAACGTGGCAGGATACAAAGTCAATGTACAGAAATCAGTGGCTTTCTTATACAGTAACAATGAAAATACAGAAAGGGAAATTAGAGAATCGATTCCATTTACTATAGCACCAAGAACCATAAGATACCTGGGAATAAACCTAACCAAAGAGGTAAAGGATCTGTACTCAAGGAACTACAGAACACTCATGAAAGAAATTGAAGAAGACACAAAAAGATGGAAGACCATTCCATGCTCTTGGATCGGAAGAATAAACATTGTTAAAATGTCTATACTGCCTAGAGCAATCTATACTTTTAATGCCATTCCAATCAAAATTCCACCGATACTCTTCAAAGAGCTGGAGCAAATAATCCTAAAATTTTTATGGAACGAGAAGAGACCCCGAATCACTAAGGAAATGTTGAAAAACAAAAATAAAACTGGGGGCATCACGTTACCTGATTTCAAGCTTTACTACAAAGCTGTGATCACCAAGACAGCATGGTACTGGCATGAAAACAGACACATAGACCAGTGGAACAGAGTAGAGAGCCCAGATATGGACCCTCAACTCTCTGGTCAAATAATCTTTGACAAAACAGGAAAAAATATACAGTGGAAAAAAGACAGTCTCTTCAATAAATGGTGCTGGGAAAACTGGGCAGCTATATGTAGAAGAATGAAACTCGACCATTCTCTTACACCGTACACAAAGATAAACTCAAAATGGATAAAAGAAGTCTATATCTTTATATCAAGCCAGGTTCAAGCCCCAATAATTTACTAAGATCAAAATGTGAAATGGGCACCAGGAAAGAGGTATGCGTCATTTTCTTTTAAAAGGGATGTGAAGAGCAATGGCCACAGTCACCAAACTGTGGAAAGAACCAAGATGCCCTTCAACGGACGAATGGATAAGGAAGATGTGGTCCATATACACTATGGAGTATTATGCCTCCATCAGAAAGGATGAATACCCAAATTTTGTATCAACATGGATGGGACTGGAAGAGATTATGCTGAGTGAAATAAGTCAAGCAGAGAGAGTCAATTATCATATGGTTTCACTTATTTGTGGAGCATAAGAAATAACATGGAGGACATGGGGAGATGAAAGGGAGAAGGGAGTTGGAGGAAATTGGAGGGGGAGATGAACCATGAGAGAATGTGGACTCTGAGAAAAAAAACTGAGGGTTTTGAAGGGGCGGGGGGTGGGAGGTTGGTGGGTATTATGGAGGGCATGCATTGCATGGAGCACTGGGTGTGGTACATAAACAATGAATTCTGGAACACTGAAAAGAAATTAAAAAAATAAAATAAAAATAGTAAAAAAAAAAAAAAAAGATGCAAAGATCCCTAAGTTGGAACAGAATTACTAAAGCTTTATCACCATCTTTCAGTACAATTGGCTAGGTTCTGCCTGTTTTAAGTTATTTAAAATTCCCTATTACCAAAAATGTCCATCCAGTTTTTCCAAACCAACATTAAGAACAGCGCCAAGCACTATTTCAAGTGTTTTACATATACCTTCAAACAGAACCTCACCATAGTCCTTACGAATGGTGTCATTATAGTCATTTTAACTGTGAGACAACAAATATGTACATTATTTAAATGTGCAAAGGTACACACAATTAAGTGCAATAGATAGAATCACAACATATGTCTGGCAGAGTGCATACTTTTAACCACTCTGCATAGAAATCATACTCTCATTAGAATGTCTGGAGAAGTTATGTGTCAACTACCTTTGTCCAAAATGTCCTTAACTCCCTCTAAGAAAAATTTAGCACTCATGTTTATACAATTTACAAAGGATTTTCACATGCTTTGACTTCTCTGAAAACAGCAAGTGTATATTTAGGGACTGTTTAGTACACGGCAAACTTCATGTCCTCATTTTATAGATATAACAACTGAAACTAAAAAGATTACTGACTTACCCACCTTGACTCTACTCTTTGGTGGTAGATTCTAGATTTATTATCAATTTGGACATTAGACTAAAGGTTAGGATAAAACACATACCCTCAAGGAAAGAATCAAGACTGACATTCTCACTCAAGTGTAGGAGCAAGACCGTGAGTCCTCCTTAAGGACCACAACCTTGCTCAGGGACACAGGTATCTTGGTTCATGGCTACCAAGAAGGAAAGTGACTTGACTTTTATGTGGAGGCATGCCTGCTCACTGCCATAACCTGTGTCAGTCCTTACTGAGAAATCAGAAGAAAACAAGAGGGCTAGGACCAACCATGAACTTTGATTCAGGCAGGACCTTTAGATGGAGACAGCTGGGCCTATAGCCATGGAAAGGAGGTCAGACTGTGACCTTGAAGTATGAGAGGGAGTCTTTAAATGGATCTGTTTTCTCAGAATTCTACCTGTCCTACTCTAGACAATGGTGAAATAGGAACCTTTGTGACACAAACATTAGATTCAGGAAAAGCTAATAAAAATTCCTTCCATTCCACCTATTATGTTACAGGCATGGTGCTGAATGATTTGTGTGCATTGCCTCATTTATCTTTAAAATAGCATAATGAAGTAAGAATAGTTACCTTTCCCTTGCCAGTGAAGAATCTGAGGCTCAGAGAGATGAAGTCACTTCCTAAGATCACAAAATATGTAAGAGCCAGACTGAAGTTTGGGCCCCAGGCTACTATACTGCAGACACTGAGCTTATACCTATTGGTATATAACACATGTCCAGGACTGGAAATGCATGTGAACCCACATGCTTAATGCAGTAATATACATATGACCACTGTTGAAACGCAGTTAAAAAAGTAGTTGAGTTCATAGAAAAGAACCAGAGGACCCTAAGATAAGTACATGAAACATACAATAACAACAACACACTCTAAACATTTGGAACCATATAAAATATGACTTATAAACAAAATGCGGTATTACACATAACCAAACACTGAGGTGACATTTTAAGACCTCTCACCTATTGCTGGTCATGAGTAAATTCATGAAACTTCTCCCCCAGGTTGGGGAGCATATGCGTTTCTCTTCAGACTACACAATCTCATTTAACTATGATGTCTGTCCAAGGATGAAAATATGAGAGTTATAGAAAGAGAGGGGGCAAATACTTGATCTCAAAGGGACTGAGGAGACCCAAGATCACAGACACAGATGCCCTGCACTTGTTTAAAGGGGCAACACTTATTTAGACTTCTGTGCCCTTGTCTAAGAGAGGAAAAGGATAAGACCAGCAGCCAATCACACACACACACACACACACACACACACACACATACACACACACACACAATTCATGAACAAAACATACCTATATCTGCATTGTACAAGCAAGGAAACACCACACAGACCCATACATATGTAGAACTCTAGACACAGAGACACACTTTGCCCACCTAGAATTCCCAGCTCTCTCTGACCTGTGCCACTTCTTAGTGAGCTAAGGTACCTTCTAATACAGTTTCTTGGGTTCTCAGCTTCTGTTTAGAACACCAGGAATAAAAAGTAAGAAGAAAGCCTTTGTGAGCCCATGACCTCATGAGCTCTCTGTGACTGTCCTTGAGCTCCAGGGCAACAGGCAGGAGATAACCATTTTACAAACCTCAGAGAGGACTCATGGGAAGTCCCTAAGCTCCTGGTTAAGGAAAGAATCAGAGCAGACTAATGGCCACCAATTCCTATCAGACCTTGGGGAGGAACCTGTTTAGGGGCTAGAGGGACTGAGCTGCTAGAGACACCTGAGAGGGTGACCCGGATCTCAGGGACACTCTTGGCTCCTCCTTGCTCGTACATAGTTCCAGAGGGGAAGTAGGAAAGTCTTATTCAGCCTCCATCACCAGAGTTGCCAGTGCACTGGGTCAGCCTCTCCCAACAGCACATTATGGTCCAAGAAGAGTAAGTCTGGCTCCTGCGAACTCCCACACCACTTGCTACAATGAGCACTCAAATCTAGCTTTAACTTCACATCTTGCAGGTCCCCTCTCTCCCTAGGGAGAGACTTCAGGGCATGGAAGTTCGCCTTTTCCAAGAGAGTATAGAGGGGGGAAATTGAGTCTTTGGGCTCAGTTCTCAGAAGAATTGAGTCTGGTCTATACCACACATTAATTTTTGGCCCTGAGAACATAAAAGTAATCCCCTAAGACCTGTTACATCAGCTGTAAAGTGTGGACAAAAATATATTGTCTGCAGAAGTTATTCTTGAAATTAAATTAGATGTTTCATGCTAAAACACATAATAAATGCACAACAGACATCAGCTCTTGTGATCATTATCTTTGTATCTTCCCCAAAAATATAATGATATCTAGAATCACTGTTATTGCCATGGGATTGCTATTAAATGAACAATTGAATTAACTGATTAATTAATTCTTCCAATCTAATAGTAAGAATTTATTCCTGCCTTAAAAGATTAAATGAGTTAAAACATATGGTGAACTTAGAACATTGTCTGGCATTTTGTAAGTCCTGAATAAACTTTGACTATTTTGTTGCCATGGTTTACAGACTCATTACCTTCAGCTGTTCACATATACACATATTTGTTTCAATAACATCTTAGTTACTGATAACTCCATGTTGTTCAAACCAAAATGTAGGAACCTGTT